CTGCTTTTTACCCATTGCCTGCGGATTTTGCCATTATACATGTTCCGAATGAGATAACATGTCACAGTGCTATTTACTTGTCTTCAACTTTGGCTGAATACACCATAGAACTGTGCGGGATAGCTGTCAGAATTTCCTGACTCGATCATGGGAAACACTACACTGTCAGACAATTACATTCAGGCTAAAAGTAGTAAGATTTGTTCAAAAGTAAGTTAATCGCAGAGAAATAAGAACAAACTCACAAATTAATAATGGGACAAATTGTCAGAAAATGATGAGGACAGACTCCATGAAGATCCCCATTTCTGACTCTCTGATGGAGGAAGGGTTGTTGACGAAGCAGATCCTGGAGTGAAATTGGACAATGCCAGCTTGCAATCAGGTCATATAGCCGAGGAATGCTCCCTAAATTGGCTCAGGGCAAACCCGATACAGGGCTCAATTCAAATATAGCAGCTTGCAGACAATTGTTGCACATCCTCAGGCTATGTGTATATAAAGTGGGTGTAAATTTACAGCCAGTATGTTGTTGACAGTGATCCTGAGGTAGATCTTGGTGCAAGATGATTTAGAGAGAAGAAGTGATCTAGAGGGATTGGGTGATCCAGAAAAAGGGGGCGATTAAGAAAGAAGCGTGATCTAGAGTAGAGGAGCGATCAGAGGATGGGGACAATCAATAGTGATGGATTATTGAGAGGGAAGATGAGGTGATTAGGAGGGTTAATTGGAAAGACAGCATGATCAAGGGGAGGTAGCTAAGAGCTCGAAGGAGTATTCAGGATTGGAGAAAGCTTCTGCTGTACAAGTTAATTCTCTCTGTCTTCATCTGCATGATCTTACATGTAATCAGCATCATAAATCTCTTTCAGTCCTGCAGAGCTCAACAAGCCTGAGATTACTGTACCAGAATAAGTGTTTTCGTAATTTTGTGCTGCTTCACAGGAATCCACCCTGACCATTGGCAAGTTGCTGAGCATCTTTATAATGTCACAAACAAACTGCTTGAGATTGTTTTTACATCTATACCTGGGTGTCCATGGAGAGGGAGATCTGCTGGTACACTTGAGGCCTTCTGTGATTACTGGTCACTACGGGGCTGGAATAGAACATCAGCTCTGGAAATGCCACTTTAAGCTTGTAAGTTTCCTTTGAAGATTTCATGTGTGTGACAGTTACTCTTTATGGACTGATTCCTTAAATTAACTAATGAATGTGTTCAGTTGAAATCCCAAACAATTCTACCCTCACCAGTGAACACCACATCTGGTTCCACTGCCAGGTGTGGGCTTTGCTCTTTTTCTAAGGCTGAAGCCTCTTTGCTGTAAAGTTTTCTGATACATTGATGCAGACATTGGTGAAGTCGGCCATCATGAGCACTGCCCACTTCTCAAAGTTTTTTCCGCATCTCTCAACTCAAAACCTGAGGAACAATTAAACCCAACAGTGCATCACCTTAACCAAAGAGCTTTAAGTAATGAGAACAAAGCAGGTCCAGAAAGAAAACATGAGAGAGGAAAAAGACTGGGATTCAGAGAGAGAGAAGAGAGGAATAAATTAAGATGGCCATTAAGAATTTAAAATGGAATATTTTTAGAATCTTAAGTAATTTACCATATGTGGAACTAAGACTCAGCAGTTTAAATCGCTCTTTTTTTTGGACTTTGTATTAGCAATTATTATATCAATATAAAGCTATTTACATTATTAATTATGAGCCTAACTTTCTGTGGCAATCTTAATGATGAATTAATGTGAAAATTCTGTAGATTATTAAAAATAAACAGAAAAGTTAAAGATGAAGCGCTGTTTGTGAAAAACAAATAGAGGAGTTGAAAAAAACAACCAGCAATTTCTTAATCTTAATCTCTTCATCTCTTGAATTTGTTGGCCAATTTGCACACTAACAACAACAAGCCCCATTAACATGCCTTAATATTCCCAGGAAGATTTGCTCCATTGATATGGAAACCATTCCTTTCTGGTGTATTGTGCAGAAAGTTTCGAAGGTCCTTCTTCTTCTCATGAATCTACAACAGACTCTAGCCAAAAACACATCACTCATCCAGAGAATACAATGAATACCCCTTAGAAACATCAAATGTTATGCGCATGCATTAAATGGTGATTGATTGTTGCCAGGATGTGGGCATTGCTGGCACTTAATATTAATATTTTTAATTAAAACACTTTAATAGTATGATATTACCCTTAGTTATCCCTGAGAAGGTATTGGACAGTTTCCTTTTTACATTGCTATACTCCGTGCAGTGCAAGTTCAACCACAGCACTGTTAGGGAGGTGCAGGGTTTTGACTGAACCATTGATATTGGAATCTCTAACCAGAGGAAAAAGTTTATCTACATTTCCCTATTTGGTCATGGGATTTAAGAGCGATTATCTGGGCCAGTGCTTATGGCCCATGCCCTTGAGAAGGTGTTGGTGAGTCACCTTCATGAACCATTGCAGTCCATGTGGTGTAGGTAGACCCACGTGCTTTTGGAGAGGGAGTACCAAGATATTGACATAACAATGGCTCGTTTTGTATCTTCATGCACATATTTCTGTCTTTGGGGAAGCAGGGGGAACTGTTGGAATGATTAGCCAACTGTTTGTCAACCTGTTAAATTGTATCATTCACTCTTTTGAAATGCCTCTTCTGTAGCCAACAGGTTCTGGAGTGGGATTAGAACCTAGAGTTTCTGGTTCAGAGATTGTGCTGCTACCACCTGAACCGTAAATTGTCCGATGATGATGAATGAGCAGCAATAAAAGTCCGTGATAGTTTGGTGTGTGACTTGGTAGGAACACACATACTTTATCAAACCCCTGACTTCATCTTAAGCAGTTCAATTGGATTTCCCCTTTGTGTGTGTTACAGCATGCATTTTATATCGCTGTTGTAATCTGGAGCTATGAATACTGATGGAGGCTGTATCTGTCTTTCCATTGCTAAACATGAAACATTGTCCACTCTTATCAAGGCTGGTGTATGATGGAAAAATTTGCAGGTTGCTACTCAGTTTGTGTGGCTGTATGATACAATCCTAATTGGAATAACCTTCTTTAACCACGACAGCCTGAAGTGGGATGTGAACTCAGAAGTCCAACTGGGGGAGGGGGCAGGGTCATTACCCAAGGCCTCCAAGGTTGTCTCTTAATCTTTCAGAATGAGTTATGAAGTATTGATATGCAGAGGGATCCAGGTGTGCAAGTTCACAGATCACTGAACGTGCAGTGCAGGTACATAAGGTAGTACAAAAGGCCTATGGCATGCTTGCCTTCATTGGAAGGGGGATTGAGTATAAGGATAGACAAGTTATGCTGCAGCTTTAGAGAACTTTAGTTAGGCCACACTTGGAATATTGCGTACAGTTCTGGTCACCACCCTACCAGAAGGATGTGGATGCTTTGGAGAGGGCACAGAAAAGGTTTACCAGGATGTTGCCTGGTATGGGGGATTTTAGCTATGAATAAAGGTTGGACAGACTGGGTTTGTTGTTATCGCTGGAACGCAGGAGGTTGAGGGATGACCTAATGGAAGTTTATAAGATTGTGAATGACATGGATAGAGTGGAACGTATGAGACTTTTTCCCATGGTGGAGGGTTTAATTACTAGGGGACACAGGCTCAAGGTGCGGTAGGTGGGGGAGGTTTAAAAGAGATGTGCGAGGCATGTTTTTCACACAAAGAGTGGTGAGTGCCTGGAATATGCTGCCAGAGGTGGTGGTGGAAGCAAACACAATAACAGCATTCAAGAAACACCTGGACGAATACACGAATGGGAAGGGAATAGAGGGATAAGGATCCTGTAAGTGAAGACAGTTTTAGTATGGCAGGGCAGAATGTGTCAGTGCAGGCTTGGAGGGCCAAAGAGTCTGTTCCCGTGCTATACTGTTCTGTGTTCTTTTCTTTGAAAAGGAACAGCAATCTAGTCCGGGCATTCTGGAGAAACTGTGCCCCTACAGTGAATATGTATTTCCAAATGTTGCCCTTAAAATTAGAGCTGGGGGCGGCACAGTGGCTCAGTGGTTAGCACTGCTGCATCACAGCGCCAGGGACCCAGGTTCGATTCCAGCCTCGGGTGACTGTCTGTGTGGAGTTTGCACATTCTCCCTGTGTCCGTGTGGGTTTCCTCTGGGTGCTCCGGTTTCCTCCCACAGTCCAAAGATGTGCAGGCTAGGTGGATTGGTCATGCTAAATTGCTCATAGTCGTTCAGGGGTGTGTGGGTTATAGGGGGATGGGTCTGGGTGGGATGCTCCAAGGGTCAGTGTGGACTTGTTGGGCCAAGGGCATGTTTCCACACTGTAGGGATTCTATGTGAAATGTTCAGGGGTGAGGACAGGAAACCCTTCTTAGCTCAAAGCAAGATAGAAATCTGGAATTCCTTCAACTATTACCTATTGAGGCTGCGATTGTTAGATTTTGTTCTGAAAGATCTGGAACTAAGGCAGTTAAATAGGGTACAGATAAAGATCAGACTTGGTGCAACTAAAAACAAATGAACAAGCTCCTGAAGGTTGTCACCACCTTCTCTTCCTATATAATTCAAATTATTTCCCTCCAATTGCACCAATTCCTTTAGGAATTTGACCATTTGAAGTACATCCCTACACTGCTTATTTATTCAAAATGCCTGAAGTACATCTCTACACTGCTTATTTATTCAAAAATCAGAATTGCCTGTCACATATGAACTGCCAATCGTCATCTCCCTCGCTGTCATGTTCCTTAATTTAATCTTCCCTGCAAACTCTGACACATGCAGAATGGAAACATGACTTTGAAGGGTCAGACAATTAGAAACGCGCCTTGCTCGACCTTCAAGCAAGTACCTGCAATCGCGCTCTCAGAGGGAGAGACAAATAAGGGCTAATTATAGTATTCATTTTACCTCGGCTGCAAATCTGGGAGAGACGATGGTGGCGCTGTGCAGCCGGAACTAAAATGAACAGACAAAATCTCCCTGTCAAATGCACCGTGCTTTTTGATCCATCTTACCACACTTTGCCACAAAAATACAGAGACAGAATAACCCAGAGGGGTTTCAATGTGCTATATAGCCCCGGGCTCTGACTAACAGCTGGCCCATGTACTGACGCTTGGGATTTTGGAGAGCTGCCCAGAACCTAGAAGTGGAATGTGATTGTGCTTTGGGATCCTGGCCAGTAGCCTTTTGTGTGTTTGAGTGCAGAAACCATCATCCCCACAGAGAAGCGGTCCCCAGGACAACTACTGGGCTTTCATCACTATTAATGCTGCAATAATTTTGGGGCTTGCTGGTTGAGAGTGGGAGAGAGAGAGAGGAAAAGGCAAGAGGAAGTTGCAGTTCTCTTTGGAAGGAGCGATACACTGCTTTCCCTTTGTTCTAACCTTGTCAGGAGCTGGGAGCAGACAGAATACAAATCCTGGAGTGCCATATAACGGAATCGAAGGAGAGTAGTTTTGTCAATTACAGTCGCAACGTGACACACGATAATTTTAATTTCTCATAAAAGCATGACTGCTTCCTCCGCCACCAGGGTCTTCGTGTTATCTCTGGTGTCAATTCCAGTGAGCTATCTCTTTAATTTCTTATCCACGAACTGCAGGTAAGTCAGTGCTAACATTCGGCCTGTCTTCTTTCTGTTTTGCCCATGTGCTGCGTTGAAGTGAAGCAAGACCGAAGAAGTCATTATTGTTGAAAATCCGTTGAGGTGCAGGAAGGGAGGGTAATCCATGGCAAAACATGTAACAGGCTGCTGAACACTGTTAAAGCAGTCAGTGGAATTTGTCGGGCAGCTGTAACGAAAGCTGAGCGTTCTGCCTTGTCCACAATTACTATCCGGACTGGTATTTGTCATCTGTGTTTGATTAACTAAACACTGGGTCAAAATAAGCCGGTTTTGTAGTTTTTTAAATTAGCTTTAAAAAACAGGGGAATCCCATAAAGGACGTTCCTTATACTTTAGTAGAGTTTCTGTCATTTGGAACTTAAGGATCTGTATGTTGTGTGTGATTATAAATATACCACATTTGGAATATTAATCATTTACCGGGAAGCTGTTTCACTTGAGATTTGTTTGTTATGAGTCTATCAAGAGCTGAAGTGCTGGACACTTGCACAGTTCCTGTACTGTCACTACTGTGACCGCAGACATTATAAATATAAGACATTTATGTTCTAAGTATTTGCATCACTGACCTAATTGTTGTTTTGTGCCATTTGAATACAGTCAAATGTTTCATTAATGAGTTTGTTCCCCACAGTTTCTGAAGCCTTTACTTTGCAGGTTCATGTGCCCCCTGGGGTGGACCTAAAACAGCACACTCAGTGTAGGTAGAAGAAATGGGGAGCTCGCCCTGGTGTTTTCCCCAATGTTTATCCTTCAGCCAACATGACTAAAACTCATGGTTGGCAATGGTGTTTAGCACTGCTCCCTCAAAACACCAGGGACCTGGTTGTGATTACATCTTTGGGCGACTGTCTGTGTGGAGTTTGCACATTCTCCCAGCGAGTGCATGGGTTTCTTCCGGGTGCTCCGGTTCCCTCCCCCCGATTCCAAAGATGTGCAGGTTAGGCGGACTGGCCGTGCTAAATTGCCCAGAGTATTTAGGGATGTGCAGGCTAGGTGGGTTAGTAATGGAAAATGCAGGGTTCGGGTCAGGGGGTGGGTCTAGGTGGGATGCTGTTTGGTGGGTTGGTGTGGACTCGATGGGCCAAATGGTCTGCTTCCTCACTGGTAGGGATTCTATGAAAGCAGGTTATCTGGGTATTATTTCATTGGTGTGTGTGTGGGATCCTGTGTGCAAATTGCAACAGAGATTGTTCTTTAAAACTATTTCACTGGCTGTAAAATGTTTTGAGATTGCGGGTGACTAATTAATGCAAGTTTGGTCTCTCTCTCGTTCTTTAAGCTGTGCTTCTCAAATAGTTTCCCACTGTGACCCCATATTAGTGATTTGCAAATTGCTATGATCCCAAACTGAGAGCAGCGAATAGGCAGGAAGTTATGGTGCAGAGGCACATTTATTTTTGTCCACAATAGTTTTGAAGGGGTCTTGGAGCTGACAGTTGAGTATGTGCATGTCATGGAGCTTCAGCGCTGATTCCAAGACTGTCCCACAACAAGTGTCAGAGCACGTGAGCACAATCTGCACTTTAAGCAGGCCAGGCAGCATCAGAGGAGCAGGAAAGCTGACGTTTCGGGTCAGGACCCTTCTTCAGAAATGGGGAGGGGTAAGGGAGCTGGGAAATCAATAGAGAGAGGAGAGGTAGGGCTGGGGAGGGTAGGTGGGATGGTGATAGGTGAGTGCAGGTAGGGAGTGGTGGGGATTGGTCAGTGAGGTGGGAGGAGTGGATAGGTGGGAGAGAAGATAGACAGGTTGTGTCAAGTGAAGGAGGTGGGGATGAGAGGGAGGGTTGGTCATGGGCTGAGGAGTGGGGAAATTTTGAAACTGGTAAAATCCCATGAGCAACCCTCCCTCTCATCCCTGCTTTCCTGCTCCTGAAATGCTGCCTGGCCTGCTGTGTTCCTCCAGCTCCACACTGTGTTATCTCTGACTCCAGCATTTGCAGTTCTTACTGTCTCTGCATGACAAGCACTTGTTTTTATTTGTTCTTTGGATATAGGCATCACAGGCTGGGCTAGCATTTATTGCCCATCCCCAATAGCTCAGAAGGTAGTTAAGAATCAACCAGATTGCTACCTAGGCCAGACGAGGATGGCAGATTTCCTTCCTTAAAGACCGGTATTAATGAACCGGATGGTTTTATGGCAAAGCTTAGATAATCTCTGAACATTGTAATTTAGATTTTCATTGAATTTAAAAATCACCACCTAGAGTTGCACCAGGATTTGAACCCCTGTTCCCAGACCTTTAGTCTGGGGTTTAGGACTGCTGCTGGTACCACTATGCCACTACCTTCTCTTAGCAAAGTTAAGGAAATCAATTTAATCAAATTAATCAATTGGAGCACAGAACCAAAAGGCCCAATCAGAGTAGTGAGAAAAAGACCAATCATAGAATCCCTACAGTGCAAAAAGAGGCCATTTGGCCCATCGAGTCTGCACCAATCTTCTGAACAGCATCCCATCCCAAATCCGTCCCCTACCTTATCCTCGTAAATCTGGATTTAGCATGGCCAACCCACCTAACTTGCACATCCTTGGACTATGGGAGGAAACTGGAGCACCGGGAGGAAATCCACACATACACAGGGAAAATGTGCAAACTCCACACAGAGAATCACCCAAGGCTGGAATCTAACCTGGGTTCCTGTCAATTTGAGGCAGCAGCGCCAACCACTGAGCTACCGTGCCGCCAATCAGGACAGTGAAAGTGCATCGATGTAACATTTAGAGAAAAGAAAACCTACGTCCCAGCCAGAGTCTCTACCTGAAATCACAATTGCTGCCTCAGAGTTTGCATTGCGAAATAATCGGCTGTTCTGATCCATGGTAAGGGACCCATTGCTATAGAAGATTTTGGCTTCTTGCCATGGTATTGGTCAACAGGTGTTAGCTGCCTTCCATTGTTTTAGCCCAATGGACATGGAGCATTGGCAGTCAGCTCACAGAGGCATCAAAGCCTGTCCATATCTTTCAGCAGACTTCATTAGGTAATGATCCAATATGGGATGCCTGGCTCATTTTCCTAACATTAGCTTAGGAGCACTGAGTCAAACTGTAGCGGCCCAATCACTTTCCTGCTGAAATGACCTAATAATAACCAGGGAATGAATTTGGAATGACGGAACTCTTGGGTTCAACTGAAGGAGCAGGAGTGTTGCTGGAACTTTTTAAATAAGTAACTTTAATTGTTGACCTTCAATTTGGCAGTGGCTTTAAGGAATTCAGTCCAGAAACCTGTCTGCCTCGTCATCATTATTCTTTTAAAAACCAAAAGAACTGCGGATGCTGTAAATCAGGAACAGAAACAAAGTTGCTGGGAAAGCTCAGCAGGTCTGGCAGCATCTGTGGAGGAGAAAACAGAGTTAACGTTTCGGGTCCGGTGACCCTTCCTCACTACTGATGGTGGCTGGGAAAACGTCAGTTTATATGCAGAAAATAGGGAGGTGGGTGGGGTAGGGAGTAAACAATAGGATAGAGCCCGAAGAGAGAGAAAGACAGTTGGACAGACAAAGGAGTTGCTGACGATCAGGCTGGGAGGGTGAGTAGTTGTTAATGGGGACTGTTAGTGACTAACAACAGGGGGTGTGTAGTGGCAGGCTATGTGGTAACAAGGCCTGGTGTGTGGGGTAGGGGGCTGGGACATGGGAGAGTTTAGGCCCTAAAATTATTGAACTCAATATTGAGTCCGGAGGGCTGTAGGGTCCCCAAGCGGAAAATGAGGTGTTGTTCCTCCAGCTTGCGTTGGGCTTCGCTGGAACACTGTAGCAAGCCAGAGACAGAGGTGCAACTACCAGTTGCCTGCCACTTCAATGCACCACCCTGTTCCCTGGCGAACGTCTCTGTCTCTGGCTTGCTTCTCTCTCTTTGGGCTCTATCCTATCGTTTACTCCCTACCCCACCCATGTCCCTATTTTCTGCATATAAACTGACGTTTTCCCAGCCACCATCAGTTCTGAGGAAGGGTCACCGGACCCGAAACGTTAACTCTGTTTTCTCCTCCACAGATGCTGCCAGACCTGCTGAGCTTTTCCAGCAACTTTGTTTTTGATCATTATTCTTTTCTTTGAACTTGCTCTCTCAAGGTGGCGTTTTGGACCAAATCACTTATCCTACTGTTTCCTGTGTGACTTAATATTGAAGATCCTACCTTCTGAATCAGACAGCGATTTAAAGGGGGAACTTTGATGTTTAAATCTAGTTTTTGCAGAGGACTGAAGCTGATGTGTGGAGAATTCAATTCTTATGACCTTAATCCTCAAATATACTCCCGTATACAGGGAAACTGGAAGCAAGTTTGCATCAGTTGATCTAATAAACTCTTCACTTTGAAATCAGACTGTAATTTAGTTCACAGGTCACAATATTCAGTGCGGTTACTGAGCGAGCGTGTATGCCACAACTAGTATTATCAAACATGATACAATTGATGAAGCCCATATAGTTTCTGATCTGATTTTCATTCTGCCAGTTTTGGACACCGTACAACTGGAGTATATGCTTGAGGAAGAAGTTCGAAACCAAAATATCCCTTTTGTATTGTAACTTGTAAGATGTTCAATTATGTTGTGAATAAAATCATTCATGTTTAATTTTCTTTATTATTCAAATATGTATGCATCACTATCAAAGCCAGCATTTGTTGTCCATCTCTAATTGCCCCTGAACTGAGGGGCTTGCAAGGCCATTTCAGAGCACAGTTATGAGTCAGTCACATTGCTATGGACTTGTAGGCCAGACCAGATAAGGATGGTACATTTTTCCTAAAAGACATTAGTGATTTATGTGGGCTTCTACAACAAATCAGTCACGGTTAGCATTATTGAGACGAGCTTTACATTCTAGTGTCATAGAGTCATATAGCGCGGAAACAGACCCTTAGGTCCAACCAGTCCATGCTGAGTATAATCCCAAACTAAACTAGTCTCACCTGTCTGCACTTGGACCATGTCCTTCCAAACATTTCTTATTCATGTACTTATCCAAATGTCTTTTAAGCATTGTAACTGTACCCACATCCACCACTTCCTCCGGAAGTTCATTACACACATGACTCATTCTCTGTTTAAACAAATAGTCCTTTAAGTTAATTCTTTATTTAGCTGAGTTTTGAATTTGACACAAACAAACACATTCGTCGCATGGAGATTTTGATGTCTAATTACAGGTATACCTCTGTTACCAAGCAGCCTCTGAACTGAGCCAATACTGGGGTAGAGAACTTACCAGGTCACAGGAGATTGCGTGCATTATTGTCCTGCTCAGAACTGAGGGCTGTTGTCCTGGTCCTCAATGTGAGCACATTAGCCATGCACCAGCCTGAACACTGCCACACCACCTCCCTCCCATTGGACCACAGTGGGTGCCAGACTGTAGAAGTTGTCAGACCAGAGCATAGAGGGGGAACAATCTGTTTTGAAGGACTGTGGCACCTTGACTTTATATAGCGGCTTTCATGGTTCAAAGATATCCCAAAGCATTTTCCAGCCAATAATGTACTACATACTTGCAAAGTGTAGTAAGTAATGTGGCAGCCAATTGGTACATAGTAAGCTTCCAGATCCACAATGTGATAATTACCAAATAATCTGTTTTAGTTCTGAGGAAGGGTCACTTGTCCTGAAACGTTAACTCTGCTTTCTCTCCACAGTTGCAACGAGACCTGCTGAGTTTCTCTACCAATTTTTGTTTTTGAATCTGTTTTAGCAATTATGGCTGAATAAAAAATGTTAGCCGGGCTGAAGTGAACTCAACTCCTCATCCTTGATGGATTGCAATGGGATCTTCTACGTGCATTTGAAAGGCCTCGGTTTTATGTCTCCCCTGAAAGATAGCACTTCTGGCAACTCAGCACTTGTTCAACACTGTACTGAAATTTCTAACCGATGAACGGAATTCAAACTTGTTGCAAAATGAAGGGTTTGAGAAATCAAACTTATTTCCTTTTCCCTGTATAGCTGCACAATGTTTAATAGTTGAGTTTATAAGAACGCAACTCTCCACACATTAACTTCTAAATTCTTCCATAACTGATTTTTAGCATCACATATTCCCCTTGAAGTGCCTGCCTGTGACTGTTTTCTGAAGGTAGTGCCTCCTGGAATATAATCGCACAGGAAGGGTTCCTAGATTTATCTTTTGGCCAGTCATTATGAGTGACACTGAGCAATTAGTATTTAACCATGGGAACAGTCAGAGCGCAACCTGTCTCGATACTGGTGTGCAATAGTTGGGATGTCTCAGACAGCATTGAAGGGAGATAGTCCAGTTGGTAGCTTGTCCAGCAGTGGCAAGTATTTCGCCTGTGGTATGTGAGAGAATTGGGCTGTTATTGGATGAGCAGAGTGCCATAGGGGTGTGGTGCATGGTTAATTAGGTGAGTGTGGGAGAACAGCATGGGAACATTCACTCCACCTCATAAAGAGATATCTTCCATGAAACCCAACAAAAGTGGCATCGCTGATTTCAGGTGTGATTGAGCCCTGTGTCTTTAATTTAGAGTAAGATTGAAGAATGAAGGGAATCACCAGGCCTGTTTTGAATTCTACCCAACAACATGCATGAGTGACTGAAAGGTTAAAGAGGGGCTCAATCTGTTTTATTGGGAAAAAAGCTGCAAGGTGTTTGCACCTGTGAACAATGACCAAGTCAGCTGTACTGATTGTGGATATTTGGTCTCGAAATCCCAGGGAGGTGTTAGTAATTTTACGTTTCGTAAATAGGATTACTTTAAATTAATTGGTGGTGTAGTGGACAGTGAAGAAGGTTAACTCAGAGTACAACAGGACCTTAATTAGATGGGCCAAGGAGTGGCGTTTGGAGTTTAATTTAGATAAATTTGAGGAGCTGCAATTTGGAAAGACAAATCAGGGCAGGACTTATACACTTATTGGTACGGTCCTCGGGAGTGTTGCTGAACAAGGAGACCTTGGAGTGCAGGTTCATAGCTCCTTGCAAGTGGAGTCGCAGATGGATAGGATAGTGAAGAAGGTGTTTGGTATGCTTGCCTTTATTTGTCAGTGCATTGAGTATAGGAGTTGGGAGGTCATGTTGTGGCTGTACAGGACATTGGTTAGACCACTTTTGGAATACTGCATGCAATTCTGGTCTCTCTGCTGTAGGAAGAATGTTGTGAAACTTGAAAGGGTTCAGAAAAGATTTACAAGGATGGTGGGGCCAGGGTTGGAGGGTGTGAGCTATAGGGAGAGGCTGAATAGGCTGGGGCTATTTTCTGTGAAGTGTCAGAGGCTGAGGGTGACCCTATAGAGGTTTATAAAATCATGAGGGGCATGGATAAGGTGAATAACCAAAGTCTTTTCCCCAGAGTAGGGGAGTCCAAAACAAGAGGTCACAGGTTTAATGTGAGAGGGGAAAGATACAAAAGGGACCTGAGGGGCAACAGTTTCACGCAGAGAGTGGTGTGTGTATGGAGTGAACTGCCAGAGGAAGTGGTGGAGGCTGGTACAATTACAACATTTGAAAGGCATCTGGATGGGTATATGAATAGGAAGGGTTTGGAGGCAAATGGGCAAATGCCGGCAAATGGGACTAGATTATTTTGAATATCAGGTTGGCACGGACAAGTTGGACTGAAGGGTCTGTTTTCAAGCTGTATATCTGTATGACTCCATAAAATGCTGTTGGGTACCTTAACAATAGCTAATTATCATTTCTACCTGGATACAAGGCCCATGTGACTCATGATACCATAGAGATAGGCTTTGAGAGGGGAAGAACATATAGGAAGCTATTGCAGAATTCGGTTGCAAACTTTGCTAAGTAAAAAGGAGAGCAGAGCATTAGAGGCAGCAAAGCAATATTTTGTGTCACAAAGGATGTAGGAGCTCATCCTTGGATTAAAGAATCTGAACTCGTGAGAATTTAAACAAACCTGGAAGAATTGCCCAGCCTTGCCTAGAGGGGAGAATCTCCAATTTGTCCCTCACCGTGGAAGTGACTTCTGGGAAGAGGAGTTATCTGATCAGGAAAGTAAAAGAAAGAAAATATGTCATTCGGATCTAGGAATCACATTGGATTAGTTCCAGGAGAATGCAATGTTCACTTAAGAGACAAAGTATAACGACGCGAGGAGCTTTTTCATCATTTTCATCATTAAATTGGGATTTCTTCTGTTATTTAGAGTGCCAGTGGCCTGCTGAAATGATAATTAGTCAAGGTTGCTGTGGTTTCTTTCTTCATTGCAGTAAAAGTCTTAAAACTTGAAATCTTGCCATCTGACCCTTTCAATCTCTCATTTGAAATTTGGATTTCTTTTTAAAGGCTAGTGTTCTCAAGAGGATCATCGCATCGAGGCACAAGTCTGAATTAAATTCAACCTTGCTGTGGCAGTTATTAAAATAGTGGTAGCTGTGAAGCTCTCTTTATTCAGAATGTAATAAAAATTAATCACAGAGATGGGACTGAAACAATAAGGCTTAGAGTGTGAAACTTGCATGGTAGGGGGAGAAAAAAGATTGATGTATTTGAAGAAAGTGAGTTAAACATGTGAGGGTGAAAGGAATAGTAGCTTTTGCTAATAGGTTCGATGAAGAAGGGTGGAAGAACCCTGTGGGACATAACCACAGTGTGGTCCAGTTGGTCTGAGTGGCATGCTTCTATGATGTAAATTCTATTTGATTCTATGTTATGCCATATTTAACACCTTCATTTAACTGGGCACAACACTGGCAGCTGTTCAACTGTCTAGGTCTGGAACTCCCTCCCTAAATCTAATTTCTGTCTCGCTATCATCTCTTCCTCTGCCTCATTGACCCTGCTTTGTCTGAATATTTCCAGTATGTCTTGGTGCCAAATGTTATTTTCTAATGCTCCTGTGAAATTCCTTGGGTGTCTGACTATGTTAAGAGCACACGATCAGTGTAAGTTGTTGTTGAATATCGTTGTTGCATTCTATACTAGAGTAAATGTCAAGAATTTTTAACAAAGTGTCAAATGAAATGAAGCTTCTCTTTAAAGTTAGGTGACTTTCGTTTTTACTTTGGCAGCCCCTGGACAATCCTTATTGTTGGATTGTTGATCTTGATTTCTGTTGCAATAATAGCGTATTTTCTGGCGAGAAAGAAACCACCAAAGGATCCTTTATTCTACCGTGAGTATTGCTGAATTATGCTGTGAATAAACACATGCCAATCCACTTATTCTGTAGAATTTACACTCTGGGAAAAGGCTGAAATAGATTTGTTGCTAATTGTGTGCTATTATCTTCATGGCAGTTTATGCAGTCTTTGCATTTACCAGTGTGGTGGACCTTATTGTTGGACTTGAACAAGATGGACTTATTGATGGATTCATGACACTTTACTTGAAAGAGGTAGGCAAAGGCACTATCAGTCCCCTGCTGATGGATTTAGGAATAATTTTGACTTAGGTGATAGCATGAAGCTACATTGCCTTCCTGCCTGAATGTGCGCAACAATTAGGGATAGGAATGTGCCATTTGGCCTCTCAAGCTTGCTCTGCTATTCAGTAAGACCATGGCTAATCTGGTTGTTCCCTTAACAATAATTTTCTATGTGTCCCCTTTTACTGTTAATTTCCTTATCAATCAAAAAATCTAACTCAGCCTTGAATATAGCCATGCGGCTTCCACTTCTAGCTGAGGAAGAGGATAACACAGATGAATAATTCTCTAAGAGAGAAAAAACGTCTCCCTGTCTCAGTTTAAATGGGATTCTTAAACTGTCTCATCTAGCTTTAGACTTCTCCATAAGGGAAAACAGCCTCCTAGCTTCCATCCAGCCAAGCCCCCTCAGCATCTTAGATGTTTCAATAAGATCACCTGTCATTCTTCTAACCTCCAATGGGTATAGGTTCAACCTGCCTGAAAATGAAAACAATATTTCCCAAAGTGAAAATGAGCCTGAGAGTTTAGGAAATCAGTTTAATCGGCAAACCATTCCTAACTGGTGGATTGTGTCAAAAAAGAATCTTATTCTTAGGGATAGTAGGAACTGCAGATGCTGGAGAATCTGAGATAACAAGGTGTAGAGCTGGATGAACACAGCAGGCCAAGCAGCATCAGAGGAACAGGAAAGCTGACGTTTTGGGCCTAGACCCTTCTTCAGAAAAAATTTCATCCAGCTCTACACCTTGTTATCAAGGAAA